CAAAATGCCTCTTTCTCACTAAGAGGAGAATGGAGATATTTAACAGATTGACTACTCTCAAGCTGGATGTTTCTCATGGATTTCATGTTTGAGGTTGCACACTGGACTCAGGGTCCATGCATCTGACAGAGTTTGCAACATAGATGTGCAATGCCCATCTAGGGCTGGGGTGTTTGGACTCCGGGCTCTGGTTTTTGGTTCCATCTCAATAGCAGGTGATGGAGATTATCAAGGTGGTCTCTTCTGTCCTCCAACCAGGAGCAAATGTGTTTCAAGGAAGGACAAGAAAGTACTAGCTCTGGCTCGGGAGAACATTTTTGCACTGCTGGAAGCTGGCAGGCACTCCTATATACTGGCTTTCCGTATCTGCCCTAATCTTGAGTTCCTCTGCTCCTTCCCACCACCGGGCAGGAGTGCGGGCAAGGGCAACCTTTTATCTTGCCCTGTGAAGTACAGCTCAAATTCTTTACCAAAGAGATGAGATGGTTTGTACTGATAATGTGCCCCTAATTTTCTGCCATCGGATAAAGCGCTGTTTTAATTCCTCTTCACAATTTTTCCATCATAGCATGGCTGGAAATAAAAGCAGCAGGGATATGTTCTTTTCCACAAAAGCCAGGGAGAGCAGCAGCTATGATTTTCTTTGTCACACATCTTTTCCAATAGAGGCAATAGATTTTCTTCTGTCCATTTGCTACTAATCTTTTGCTAGAATAAATGTGAAGGTGGAACACTCTAATCCACCCTCTGTCTATATTTAAACAAAGATCAATATGAGAATGGACAGGAATTGAGAAACCATGTCAGCATGGCTGACAGTAAGTTGATCACTGGTTTCTACAGCCTTAGTCACTGGGAAAATTCTCCCTCAACATCAGCCTGTTGCAATTACTCATTATTATATTTTATGACATTCCCTCTCCGCTGCATATTTTTTTCTGTGCAAATAGATAGTGATACTACTGGAAATAAGCAAAAAGTGGACTGTGTGAGCACAGACTGTAGTAATAACAAACATCATATTTCATTTGCAAAAATACTTCCTGCAAGGATACCCTGGCTCAGCCAGGCCACAGCGCAAGACGAATGGACAGAATAAACCACACAGTCTAATCTGTAAAAATTTTACTGTATGTAACTAATTTCTGCTGGTTAGAGGTTATTAAAAATCACTCTACATTGATTTAAAGAAATTAAACTTAAGGGATGCTTATTCATAATTTAAAATAGTTAATAATGAAAGTGTAATATGGAAAGAAAGTGACAGTCTCCATTTCCATTAAAGTAATAAAAATTGTGATTATAAGCCCATGCTTCACAAAGTAAAAAGCTAGAGCTTTTAAGACCAGCTCTTGCACTTTCAAGACTGTTCTGCATTTTATTTCTAATTGGAGAAAATCCTTTGTAAAATACTTTTTTAAAGACAATTACTTTCATATTTGTTTCTTCTGGCATATTTAAATACCATAAGCAGTTAACACTCCATTTTAATTCACAGAAGAAAACAAATATATTATTAAAGGAAAATTTTGCACAAGGACACACAATAAATAATTCATTCAGGTTAATGATTGCTTTTTTAAATAATAAATACCTAAGTTAAACATACCTTCTTATGTATTTTATGTGGTATAGCTCCAGTGTAGCCACAAATACACAGCTAATAAGATTTTTACTAATTTGCAAAACTTTCCAAAATATAATAAAATATTTATAACATTGACAAATATTTTCAGATGTAGAAACATTTATTTTCAATATAATCAGCATATTATCCCAGTAGTCATGGCATGACTAATACACGTAGAAAGGGAAAAGAAAAGTCAAAGCTATCTTAACATATTGCAAAGCAGAAACAGAGAGATTTTACCCATGCCACTTTTCCTTGATTATGCTATACGACCAGAAGCAATCATACACCACTGCTTATTGAATTTGAGTGAATAGGGTGTAAATTATTGTTTTAATTATATACATAGAAAAAGGCTTTGATGGAAAAAGAATAGAAATCAAAGAAAACACAGAAAACATATTTTTCTGATCCATGTATCTTCATTCTAGCAGCTCGAAATTCAAACAGTATAAATTTTCTAAGATATTAGGTTCGATTTTTTTTTCAAAATGTCAGTCAAAAGAGACAACACTTTTTGAGCATCAAGATCAAAAAGGGTCTATCTCGAAATATATTGTGAACTAATTCAGTACATCATATCAACATCAGTGCAAAACTCCCAACAAAATCCACACCTATACCAGATGTCCAAAGACCAATGTTAAAGCTTATTTATAACCCATCTTACCTACATTCCTTAGTAATCCTGGAGGTGGATGGCAAAACTAAGATAACAAAGGGAATCTGACACATATCTTCCTTTTTTAAACATACACAAAACCAAAAATTTATAAACAGAAACGACAACAACAAAAAGGCTTTTTAACCTTTCTTTTCCAGGAGAGCAGAAGGGAATAGAAAACTGTAAAGAGGTCACTGATCAGTATTTGAAGAAAAATCGATTTCAGGAGAATCTATGAGAGGGCTGAAGGAAAGGATGGGTACCTGAGAAAAAAAGAAAAAAAAAAAGAAAAAGAAAGAAAGAAAAAAAATAGATTTCAAGGTAGATTAGAAATGTCTACATAAAGAGAGTTAAAGGAAATATACCAAGATTTTCAGGGTCAGAATAGCACAGTGAACTAAAGCAACATATATTGTTTGTCTTAAGCACATGAAAGAAATTAATAGAAAAATAAAGAAGAAAAAGGGGAATCTTCCCTTAAAGGAAAGATACACATATTTTATAGTATACATAACATGGAATCTTATTAAAAGAAATAAAACTTAAAACAAATTCTTGAAGAAACTAGATTCCATGGCTAAACATGTCTTTTGAAGACCAGAACATCTTAAGACAATAAAACCTACAAGAACTGGTGATTGACCTGCATTGTGCTCCTAGAAATTTGATGTCAATATAGATACAAACAGCTGCTTCAGGACAGAATTTACCCTGTATCTTTACACTGGTAGGAAGGTGTATTCACAACAAATATATTTCATTTTTCAATATGAATCTCTTACTTCATCAGTGTACTTCACATAATTTGCTCCCATATCTGCAGGAAGCAGAAACTTTTGCAGCTTGCTCTACTGCCTGCGGTGACTGAGGTAGCAAAGGGCATGTGGAGAATGAGAGGGAAGGATTAAAGATGAAAAGTATGGAGTGGCCAAGGTCAGAGACACAAGATCTGGGTATCCTGTTCAAGGAAAAGGACCTGGAAGGCAACCTTGGCATTGCTATTAGGAGCTGAAACAGATAAAATGCTTCTTCTCTCTTCATTGTTACAAGGCAACGTGAACACACTGGTCTAAAACTGTCTGGGATGTCCACACTGCCTGATGCTGCTTTGCTAATGATACTGAGTAAAGCAGAAAAATATAAAAGACTGATAAAAGAAGCAGCAGCACAGAAAATGAAAATCCATGAGAGATCAGTCCTGCAGCAAAAACAGCAATTGATTTCTGTGACAGTGATAACTACTAATGGGATAGCAGATATATGTTGAGAAATCAGGACTTCAGGCAACCGAAGTTTTAAATACTTCATGTAAGGTGGGCCACTGTTACATATTTTAAGAGTATTAACATCCATGTCATGGAAGGGATCCATGAAGGAGTCAAACAACAGCCAGGCTTTAGTCCCTATAGTTCCCTTGGGTTATGGATTGCTCCAAAATGGCTTTCTGTGACGCAGGCGTAAAACCTCATCCATTACATACATTAGTAACCTCATATTTTTGCAATTGCTAAAGGATTATGTAGTTTTCTTTGAAAATAAAAGCTGCATTAAAAAGTATTAAGATTATTTGGTGTTCTGCTGCATGCATATATACATTTAAATCAAAATCCAATCCAGTTCCCCTCCACCCTCTTTGCCCATTTATATGGTACATAGAGACAGTTTTAGCCCTATAAATAAATCACCACTCCTGAACCGTGTAATCTAAATGTCTGAAGCATCTGTCAAGTTGTATGCATCTATTATTGACATTTGATTAGGAGATGTTCGACTATCTTATTTACCATTTTGGAGGATAACAGGATGAAAAGCTTAAAGTAGATAAGGGATACAGAAGAATAATGAGCATGCTAGACACAATTATTATGAAGAACCTTATAGACTTGAGTTATTTCTCTCCACTAGTGTAAATCAGATGCAATTCTATTGAGATAATTTATTGAGGCTGTGTGTGCTCATGTGAATAAAAAGAGATGTACCCTTCTATCTCCTTCTTATTTTAAGATAATCAGACAGTAATTGCTTTCCATTTAAGGAAGCCTATTGGAGCCCTGTGCTATTTCCGACATGTTTTCCGCCTTCATTACTGACGTGAGGCCTTTTAGTTGGGTATGATACCTCAAGGCTTTGGAATGAAGTTGTAATATATGTCTAAAGTTCACCGTCCCTTGACTTCTTGATGTTATCTCTGACTCCATTTCCTCTTTAAAGAATATGGGAAGAGAAATACTAAATGTCACTCATATTAAAAAGCATGTTCAGGTTAACCTTTTAAAAAGTACACTAAATTTAAAGTTTGCTTTTTGAGGTGTCATAGAAAAGAAAAATCCAAAACATACTTTTTCTTCTACATGTTTGTCAGCTATTTTAATTAGTTTTTAAGCCAAGACTTTCCTCACATTTTTAACCAAGTTCTGCTTTTACACTCCCAGCCAAGCTATAATCTTTTTAAAAATACAAAAACATTGAGATGTCCTAATAGAAAGATACTCAAGAACTGTTCTAATGCTAGTATAACTTGCCAGAATTGGTTGCAATTCAGGACAATTTCCTCAAGCATATCTGAGAATTTTGTTCATGATATTAGGAGTGCTGATCGTACAGCAAAGAATCAGAGAGAGTACATTAAAATCCCAGGATGATACTGTCCCTGTTGCATTTACAGTGAAGGGGAAAAATAAAATCAAAGCACAAAATGTAACTTACTTCCAGTATAATCAGGACGTAGACACCTCCTAAGATGATGGATGCAATTGTTACTTGTGTTTCTATACTTGCATGCAGGTATTGGTACTTCACAGAGAGAGGGACACTCCCCGGCTCTGGTAGGAAAGCTTGAATGTTTACAAAGATGGTGCCTCTGGAGAAAGAAAGGGAAGTTTTGCTTCCTTATGAAATGAAACATCTTTAGTTTTATTTATACCCTAATAAGTATATACACACATATTTTTTAAAAAAATTGTAAGCAACTTTTTCAAATATTTTAACTCTACCCCTCTAGATAGTATTTTCTGGAATGTAACTCAAGTACAAACCAGTCTTGGAGATACTTTTAAAAATCAAAGGAAAGGTCATGCTTTCCTGCCCCACTGCCTGCAGAAGGCAGTGATAGATTCTTTTCAAAATATTTTATTTTTCCATTACAGTCACATCTATGCAAACTACTATTTTGACAGATCATTTCCCAGTCTATCAGCCAACCTGTTCAGTATCTCAAAGGTTCTAGTTGTGATGATTTGATGATTTCTTCTTGAACTTATGGGTAGTGACCAGTTGTACACAACCTGCAACAGAGTAAAACTTGGTAATAATAACAAAAATTATCGAATGTGATATAAGGCTCTGTGTCTTCTGTATTTTTAACACCTGTTTTTTTTTTCTATCTTCTATGTTTTTAGGAGAAACTTTGTGGACGAACATTTTAGCACATCCCAGTTTAAACCCTTTCCACTTGAGTGGGTATGTCAGAGACAGTCCCTGGTGTCTGCACAGCTCTCTCTGAACAATGCCACAAATTCTACAGACCTTACCCCGATCCTCCTCTGGGCTCTCTGCGGTGCCCCTGTCGTTCTAAAATATTTCCTCTTAAATTCAAATCACCTCAAACAAAAGGGAGTTAGAGTCCATCAGAGCAAAGCTTTTATAGCATGGCTCAACCATGCTCCCGCAGCCAGCCTTGTCTTGACAGACACATCCTCTAAACCATAGGGAAATTTACTCTTAGAGACAACAGTATGGTTCATTTCCAAAGACTACCGGGAAAAAGATAATGTACAGGAGGTAAAGAGGATGAGAGGTCTCGAAACAGCCTCCTACCCCTAGATGTGAAAATGAACAGATAGTAAAATTTGTTCTTCATGAAAATTTTCTGAAAATTTACACTTAGTTGTATCCTTGCCGGTGACACTTACTGCTATTCAGGCAAGTTTAGCCAAACAAAGTCTTCAAATGCAGATCCAAAGACTGCATCTTTTTTTAATGAAAAAGCACTTGGAGATAGTTAAAACTCAGTTAATTGTAGCCTAAATTCTCATTCCTGTCCTCATCCTGTATCCTAAAAAGTGCATAAAAACATCTTGACTCGCTAATTTAGAACATGATGAACAGAAACATCTGAGTTCTGTAGATAGAGGGTAGGGTATTCTGGCTATTGCTTTGAGCATAGGAGGACCTGCCACTGCTGTGCCTGCAGGTGATGGGTTGCTGGAGCAAATTGTGCTCCAGTTATCCCACAGCAGCAGGAAGCTCCCTGGGCGTCACTACCACAAGCACAATTTACCTGTGTTTTCTCATCAGTGGGATGGGTGGTTTAAAAAAAAAAAAAATGTCATTACAGTGTTGTTTGCTGTGCTGTGACACTGGTCCTGCTGAGGACAATGGTGGGAATACTTCTGAAACGGTCCAGCTGTCCAGCTGAAATGGTCCTTTTCTGCCACTGGCAGAAAAAAATAGGCTAACTCACACATACAGAGATAGAGGCAGATATTTGCTTGTAAAACTGTTACTTATTCAGTGAGGAAGCTTAGTTTGATGTTTCTTAGATGCACAAGGACACATCACAAAAGCTCTTCCTCCGTCCCTGAATTCTCTGGGGCAGAGCAGCAGGAAGTTGTTGCAGACCACATCAACAATAATAATAAGAAGAAAAATCTTTAGGGAAATAAAGCCATTAGGTGTGACATGTTTGAGAAAAAAAATGCATCATTTGAAAATTTGAAAATGTATTTCAGCAAGTGCAAAAAGGCACTTCACACTTGTTTTTTCCCTTTCAAAAAGTCTTTTGAAATTTTGCCAATTTTGACCACAAGAATCTCTATGGCAAGTGTGAGGTCAGAGGCTTAAATCTGACAAAATTTTTGATACAAGAAGCTAAAGAGAATCTTAGAAAGATGAAATAAAATGCATCTTCATTATTATCTTAATACTGTTTCTAAAGCTGACGTTGATATATTTTTCGCATTAGGGAAAGGCACTACCTGCAATCCCACCCAATGGTGGTGGAGATGCAAGTGCTGAAACACATCTCAGAAAGAGTGAAAGAAAATTTTGAAGACCATCACCTGCTGCTGGCGTCTCCTTCTTGATCCAGTATCTTCAGTCTGGCTGATTTGTACCACAACATATTCCTCTGTTTGCTGACCAGCTACATCTGCTACAAAGGGACCTCCTACTTCTAATTTCATCAGGGCAGAATCATGGAAGTCTGTAAGATTCATAGCTGTCAAAAAAGTTGTTAAGGTGCAAACTTCCAGTAAAAATGAACAAAAGGTTGCACAAATTCTAGGGCCAAAGAGAAAAAGACAGAAACTAGTCAACTTACACTGAAAACACTGCTCACTTAAAATGCTTGGATTTATTCAAAGAATAAAATAGATGTTTGTTTCCTCACCAACCAGCACTAATTTTAGCCAGGACACACAGCATCACGCTGAATACATTCATCCCTTACTACTGACTTTTGACACTACTCACAGTTTCAGCTGACACTGTAGATATAGGTAGATATAGATGTTCCAAACTATTTTGTGAAAATCCACAGATACAGAAAAGTATCTATCTGTGCACTCTTTAAGTGCCTGTACTAGATGAAAGGCTGTACCATCAACTCAACATCTTAAGTGTCCCTGAACTCATATGGGTTTTGGAAAACATTGTGGAAGCTGCAACTACATGAAAAACTAAACTAGAATCAATGGCCTATTCATAATGCACAAATTTCTTTCTTTTTGGTCAAGATTTCTCTCATTCACAAGTTTTCTAACATCTAAATGGCACATATTCAAGCTTCTCCCAGGAGTCATGATCTCCTTCTCCTCCAGTCTCCTTCTTCCTTTTTTTTTTCTCTTTCAGACATGTAGCATGAGGTGCAGCCAACCTGCACTCCTCGTAAAATATAACTTAAAAGTCAGGCAACCATGATGCACAAATGCATTGGAAGCCTGGCTCTATTAGCTCCAGTACCTTGAGGATTATTTAAATTCAGCAGTGCTAGCAGTCCATTTCTGGCATGACTGAGAAAGAAGCATCTGTGGGAGTCTGGGGAAAAGGGAAATCCTGAGTTTTTAACCCTTTGTGATATTTTGTAAATATAGCAGAATGACTATATCATTCTGTCGTTACTGCTTGTGACCAGATAGAAGGTTAAGGCACCACCACAAAAAAAAATCCTAAGACAGGAAAGGATTGTACACATATATGTGCTATTGAAATAATTCGACATAAGCACGTCTTGAGTGTCTTAAGGTTCTTAACATCTAATTGAATATATTAGAGCGAATTTGTTCAAGAAAACATATAGGACTATATATCTAATAGAAACTTCTGAGAAAGAAGCTTCAATGCCCATAGGATTCAGAGATTTTAATAGGAGATGGAAAAACCCAATAGACCCAGTAGAGTACTGTATCCTGCCTCCCTGTGAGCCCCAGTCAGGCCATCGTGAGCAGATCAGGCCCTTGCTCCCCTCTGGCATGGAGTGCTTGATGGCACATCCTTCAGCTTTAAAAGTTGCATCTTGCACATTCCTAGGAGGAAAAGTGCATCTGGACAAGACATGTCTCCCCTTCTCTCACCCAAAATATATACTACCAAATCTAGCAGTGGGTGACTGGCCCATGCATTGCAAAGCAATGTAAATGCTATCCTGATTAGCACAGTGAGCAGAGCCACCACTAGCACTTTTTATAAACAGTGAGCCGCTCAAGCATCTATTTGCCTAAAAAAAAATGACCAAGAAAGGATTTTTTTTTAAAATGCAACAGATCAGGAGACAATTCTCATCAAGAGAAATTACACAAGGGTTTTAGCAAGGTTTTAAATATGACTTGACATCACAGTTCATCCATGTCCTAATACAGTGATATTAGTCTCCACTGGAACTACAGCTATAGCTTCAGCTAGAGACATTAATTATACTTCTGAAAAGCCTCCTGACCTGAGGTCATTAACTCAACGACTTGGGACACTTCTGACAGTCTGCATTTTATTAGGACCATAGTCAATAATTTACATCTACAAAAGCTTCAGGTCTGTGTAATTATGGCAGCTCCCATTTAAGCAATACTTTTAAAATAAATCCTGTAATTACCCAAATGACATATTAAGAGACTATTACAAATGACGCTTAAAAATAAAGGGGGAAAAAAATGAAACTTCATTTTGAATAACAGTGGTTCCTTCCTGCTTTGCTTACAAAGATGAGGATACTTAAGATGTCTTTCTTTTTTCCATTCCCTTCCTTGCATTTATGAAACTGCTAGAAAGAGCCATAGTAAACAATAATAACAATAGTAATAATAAGTTCTTATTTGACTGCAAGTGAAACTGAACATCATTCAAAGGTCTGGACAGAAGCACTAAGAGCCAAAATCCCCTCAGAGTTATCTTTGTCTGAATAATATTTAGAGACTCTGTCATAATTCCATTGTTATAAAGCCACAGATCAAAGCCTTTAGGAAAGGCAGAATCAAACTAAACCAGGAGAAACTACAGTCGCACTCACATAAATCAAAATGAGACTTTTTACTGAGCAGTTCTTCAGAATACTTTTTGTTGTGCCTTATCTTAATTTTATATTTTGCTCAAATTCACAGAATGTGATCTCTTCTCTATTTTAATCATTCTAATGTGACTTTAGCTTATGGGAAAACTATCTTTTTACTTATAATATTGCCTCTTACTCTGCAGTTTACCTATGCTGGGATTTTTGGTCTTTCTTCAGCCTTTCTTCACAATGTTGCCTGTGATATGTGCCTTTAATGCAAAAAAAATCTCCCTGATGAGATTTACAGACAGAGCTGTCATTTGTTATTTCATTTCAGCTAAACTGCCTCATTTTTTATATAGCTCCATTCTTTACATTATATACTGCTGTGAATTATTTTGCTCTTATCAAGGGATCTGGGTTTGTGTTTGGTTTGTGGCTTTCTATATTTACATCTGGAACCAGTTCAGGTCTACAGCTCAGATCTAAACTAGGAGCTTTTTTTCCCCTTCTGGGTTTTCTGACTTGCTGCTCTGGTAAGGGTTTGAAGGGTGTCTGACAATCATCTCATGTCACTTGACTTTTTGTAACTTCTGTGGAGCACGATGCAATGACTAAACATTTAAATTATTATTCATTCACCTAAATTTATACTTCTACACTGTGGACATCTGTATGAGTTACTTACTTTGCTTCCTTTAAAATCAGTGAAAAGGCAGTGCTTTTAGGATGTAATTCATTGTCTGATTTTAGACCACCGCATTAAGGGCAAAGGAATCACTCTTTAAAAGCATCTATTCTCTCTATTAACTATAAAGACAGCCTAGGAAGACTAACTGAGTGGTAGCTGAGATGAGTCACACCCTAAATACTGAATTCCTGCTTCACCCTCCATCATGGCATTTATTTAGAGTATGAAGTACTAACCAAAATGCCATGATTTACAGAGATATTCCGTCATACTTCCATGCAGATGGCTGGCTTCATTTTTTTTTTTTTAACATTTGCTTGTATCACTTATTCTGCTCTCCCATTGATCGTGACTTATGACCAGGCCAGTTTCTTAAGCTTCTAACATTTTAAAGGAGACAAATATACATTTGACCCAAATACTTTCATATATTGTCCTTAACTGAAGGTATTTCTACACTGATCTTTGAAAGTTTCTCTTTAATCTTACAGACTGCTGTCCCATCCCCACAGTGAGGGTGTTTCCACATCCTCCCTTCACAGTACATCATGCTGAGCCACATGTTCTTCTCAACCTGCTAGGTTACCCAATCTGAAGAATGCTTTTATAGCTTTCCTTTTTAATTTTTAAAGCCTGAGCAGTTTCGCTCCACTGGAACCCATCCTTCCTCTATGCACTCCCTTTACAGCAGAAGTTTTCTGAGTTCTTAATAAACTCTTCTTTCCTATAGCATTTTCTCAAACAGGCCTTCAGATCCTGCTTTATTGGCTGCCTATATGCGGTCCCAATCCCCACCTACCTACTTAGTAGGTTGAACACTGCCTTCAGGACAAATGCTTGGTATAGTTCCAACAGCACCGACAAATATAAAAGATTTTAAAATGTGTTCTGCCATGAAAAACAACTGAGGAGTATCTGACAGTAGAGGACTATAGCAACAAAACAGAATAAATTTGAAGAGATAGGAAAGCAGTTTCATTCATTTGATTACTTTATGCTCCCTGGGAAAATAATTTAGCTTTTCAGGACCTCCACAGAGTCAGACAAATATATCAGATTCTGAGTATATCCTCTGCATCACAGTGCCTTTTTCTATCTATACTTCTGGTTCAGGGACTGGGAAGTATGATTTTTCAGTACCACTGAGGGTCCTGGCATTATGATTACCAGCTTTGCTAGTGACCTGTTCTTGCTCCTTAATTAGCCCGTTTGCACTCATCATTCAAACACTTGCAGCTTCAGTTAGGAATTTGATAATAAGGTCAGCACATTTAGCTGTCTTACGTGTTCCTGGTCTATAGCTTCTCCCAGCACCATAAATATGTGAAATTGTTCTAAAAAGTTCCACTGAATGCAACTAAAATGAAAATAATAGCCTTAGAGTTAAGTTTCAAAATATTATTAAAACTTTAATACGTCTAATGCTTTCTGAATTTACATTCTTAATTCTGGACTGAGCATCATGAAATCTCTCTGAGCCACTGAGAAGGGAGATAAATCACTGAAAACAAGCACTAACAGGCAGTGTGATTTCTCTGACTTCATCTGATTTGGACTGACTAGATTCATTCAGCCTTGAATTAAGATGATTTAATTTCATTATTTTTTTTTCTGGAGGTTGCACTTAAAGAGTAAATGAGTAAGAGCACCTTTACATTACGTTCTGTACAAATACATACCTTGCTAAAGGTCAGTCCTTCCTTCAAAGGGTTTAATAATGAGCACAGATAAAGTAAACAAGTAGATCAAACTGAAAGGGTCTAAACATATATTTAAAAAATTCAAATACTTGACCAATCTGGGAAAAATTCACAATCCACTAGCCAGTTATTATCAAGTTTGGGGTACAGGAGAGGTAAGCTTTGATGAACAGTCCAAAAAAGGAAAATGAAATTGTTTCACCTAGACTGACAAAAATCTCTTTCAAATAGGTGGAACATGGCACAGTGCAAAGGCTTTTGAAAGCAAACAAACAAGAATATTATTGAAACACTTGTCAGGGATAAAGCAGAGATGGAAATTCACAGCTCAGTGAGCTAGGTGTGAGCCTTTTGTCTTAGTGCTGGAAGATGTTATACCTTTTCTTATGATAAGCAAACATTTCTAGTACTGAGAAAAGTAGAAATAGGAAAAATTGATAGAGGCAGTGAAAGAAAATGAGGCACTATATCATATAGACATTGATGCTTCTTTAAATGATAGTGACTTAGTGTACAGTTTAATTGCCCAATTCCTTGTTAGCATCCATGAATCCCCATTATTTTATAATTCCAGAATGCCCAGCTATATTCCAAAGGTTAGTGCACAGGTCTGCTCCAGCCGACTCTTCCACACTGCTTGAGTAAAATTAAAAATTTTACTTAGACCAGAGCAGAAATTATGAGGGACACAGTATATGCAGAAGTACAAGAACAAACAGAATATTTAGCATATCAGAATGTTCTTCAAAATTGAAACTTATGTAGCAGGAGTTAAGTAAGAAATATTTCTTATTCTTTCTCTGGTTATGCAGTTCATAAAGTGAGGTTACCTGAAGGTTTGAATGGCCAAAGTGTTAGATAAAATAATGTTTTAGAATAAGTGCAGGTAACTAAGCTAAGAAATTTATTCAGATGCTATATTTCTTCTTCTGATTTTAAAATCTGCTTTCCAAAAGCACATCATCTTATTAATTATTGATGCTTCCTGCTTAACATAGAGCCTTTCAGCAAAGATCTGAAAATGCTTCACAAATTCTACTTGGATTATTGAATCTTGCTTTCTGCAACAGAGGGTCCTGCGGTCAGACTCTAATATAGATGTAGTTCTCTCCGGTATTAGAGAACTGACAGTTAGAATTTAATTCAATAAATCACAAGTGGTGAAAAAAGGCACAATATCACCATTATTTTGAAAATTAAACACATCTTAGACACTCAGAAAGGAGGCTATATGTTGTTTTCAGAAATTTCAGCCAACCCACCTTAGAGCTTAATGTCAGGTTTGTATCTAACGGGATGGTCAAAGCAAAGGGAGGTACAAGTGGGTACATACAGAAAATACAAAAGTACAGGAGGGTACACACAGAAAATACGTAAGTACAGGAGGAATCTCCATGAGAGGAAGAACTTCTTTGCTGTGAGGGTGACAGAGCCCTGGAACAGGCTGCCCAGAGAGGTTGTGGAGTCTCCTTCTCTGGAGATCTTCCAAACCCACCTGGATGCCACCCTGTGCCACGAGTTCTAGGTGTGCCTGCTGGAGCAGGGGGGTTGGACTAGATGATCTCTAGAGGTCCTTTCCAACCTTAACCATTCTGTGATTCTGTGAAAAATAACTAAAGTAAATATAAGCAAGAGATGAAAGTATAAAGACACCAAACAGAACTAGACAAGTGAAAAGAAAGTGGAGAGACACCATATGGAAAGCAGGTCTCCTCCACACCAGCAGACATAGTTCTCTCCCAACAGTCAGAAGCAGAAAATCTTGCCTTCAGATGCATCTTAAAGCAAATAGGCATGACAAGAAAATCACAAATATCTAAGTGACACTGGGCTGATGTAAAGTATGTGAAGCCAAATGTAATTCCAACTTACTTTTTTTTATTTTTCAGATTTTTCTAGTCACCGTGTCCATGCAACCGCACAAACACTACACACACATCCATGTGCACGGCATTCATGAAAAGAAATAGAAATGGAAGGATTTTTTTAAAAAGTGAAGTACACAGTTGTTAGCACACATTCAGTATTTCTTAACAGCTTTTAGGCATGAACAAGTATTAACGAATATTCATATGCATAATTTAGCATTATATGAGCTAAGTCACTTGTTTTCCACCCAAAGCTGTCTGATATAATATCCTCTAAGGGTTTGTACACCTGACAGTTTACCAAGAAATGGCTGTACAAATTCAGAAAGAAGCTCCTGATGTCCCCTGGGAATACTGCAGTCTGTCAGCCAACAGAAATCATATCTCTGACATCACTCTGTGAATAGCTAGCATTATCCAAGCCTAGCCAAAAAGGCGAATTCTTTCTTCATTATGTAACAAAGCAGAGGATAAACATATGAGTTTACATCCACACAAATAAAGATTGGCAGCCAATGTCACTGTCTGGCAGTCAATGGCAGCCAGTGAGGTGACGTTCAGAATTGCTCACACCTTTTCCAAACCTCATTTATGAATTCAATCTTTCTCCTTGACCCTTCTGCTTGAATTACCATGTCACCTTGAAAATAAGGCATGGCTTTGCTGGATTTCTTACCTCTTACTCACTTTCTCACAGATCAGTGAACCTCAGCAGAGGAGTTCAAGGACAGAACATCCAGTTTTCAACACCTATGACAAAGGCTAAGAAGCTTCAGCTCTGGGTTTGTTGAAGAAATGGATTGGCATAATTCTCACTGTCTGACAGCTATTTGGCAAAAGCATCCTGACATAATAGGTAAAAGTTGAAATACAGGAACACTTGCTAGTTCTCCTATCGCAGTGATACCAGCACTTTCCTGGAACAAGTAAATGGAATAACTGGTTTTTAAGTCAACATGTATAACATCACAAACAACCCAAAATCTGAGGAAAGAGAGCAAATCCTCAAATTATAGTATGACAATTGACTGAAGCTTGAATGCAAAGATTTGCTGCCAATATACCTTGATTTGAGAGACTGAGCCATTACAGTCCTGATGCTGTCTATGAATACATATATGTGTAAATAGGAGCTTTTAAACATAGTTTCAAGGACAAAATATTGATGTGAACAGGATACTGGCAAGGATCTACAGCTGATGCTATCACTGGTCCTACTACCTCTTCACTTGCTTTCCTCCAAAGACCAATCTCAACAACTAATTGCTATACATGACCCTTAAGTATTAATCTTTTCTTCCTCATTTACCTTACTAATACTGGTGTGATACTGTGCCATTATTGACAACAGTGAAAATGCTAAAGCCGAAACAATTTAAAGCGGACTCCCCCTTCTCCAAGTTGGGGGCTCCTCCATCAGATAACACCTACCTAAATAAGCAAACACCTAACTTCAGATGCTTTTGAAATATGTCTATAGTTGAATCACTTTCTAAGGCTGATGGAATAAGAACCAAAAAAAAAAAAAAAAGTAGCCTGATTAAACTATAAAAATGATGTAAAATAGAAATGTGTTTCTTTTCAAAAGCTTTATTTGCTTACTAATGGAATGTTCATCCCTCAAAGACTTCTCACATTCAGGTCTTAATTCACCTACAGTGAATCGTATTTATCTCTGGCTATTCTGTTGCTTGCTCTCTTGAATAGTTCCTTGACAATCAGCAGACCTAAATTCACTGTTGAACAGATCATGAACTGTTCATGATCATGATCTACAGATCATGAAAATTTCTAAGGGGATCTGTAGCTCCACTGAAAAATATGGGTTCACAATCCAGCACCTCCACCTATGTTTGGATTGGTGCACAATCCAAACATACAACTGGGCTAATCTGTTACCAAAACATACCTGTACATCAGCAACTTAGCTGCTTTCAAAGTGGTTCGCTGTATAGCATCACAGACCATATTGGACCAGGGAGTGTTCACTGCAGCTGGACCCTAACCATGTCCCAACTATTTTATGGGACCTAACCCAGCGGGGCTGCAACGCATTTTCACACTCTTGAGTTCATGCAATGAAACCAGACACAGGGCCTAGATGGAAAGCACAAATTTTGCCAGACAGGTGGATTCCTTCAGGATGACTGGGTGAGCAGGACCGTGGCCAACATCAAAAGAAAAGTCTAAGAACAGCCTGGGCTCTGAAGACACTGAATCTTTTCAGGATACAAGACAGAAAGCAGCCTTTCAACCAGTTTATCAATGAAACTTCAGTTCAATTTTCATGAGAAGGATACAGAAGCTTTCCAGAGGTGATACAGCAAACATCTGCCAGGGCTCACCTCGATCTGGATAGATGCCAAATAAAATCTAGGGTGAGAAAAAAAAAATATATATATATATACACACATTAAACTGTATTAACACAAAAAATGAAAATTATCTACAAAGTCTGTTTCAAATGCTTAAAGGAAACTGTTTCAAACAACTCATAAGTTTGATAACAAATCATAAGTTTGTCTTCAATATTTTCAGGTATATTGCCCTACAACTGAAACCCTGCCATAGAACACATAGCAAGGACAAGTAATGTTCATTACTTTAACTTTCTGCCAAAGTCATATACTTGATTTATTTCATTCAATTGCCTCTTAGAGCAAATTTGTAATCTTAAGCATCTGTTAGGAAATAAACACTCCCATCTGAGGGAATATGGAAAGTCATTTTTTTTCATCCTGTGATACAGAAACCTTGCCAGCCAAAAATGTGTTCCTCATGGCAGTTAAAGAACTGCGAGTTTTGCAGCCAGAGGCTTTGTTGATGTCAAAGACTGCAGGGGCAGAGCCCCGTGGCGAGCTGCCTGCCTCCTGCGATGCTCCGTCCTTTGCACAGCGGAGCACTGCGATTGCCCGTGTGCTCCCAGCACGGCGCTCCTGCACATCGCTCCTGACAGCTCCTCTGCTTCCCAGCATCATCCAGCTGTGCCGTTTATGTTGCTACCGTGGAGAAGTGAGTGCAGAAAAGCCGGGAGAGGAGTTGCTCAACATCTGCCTCTAACCGTCTCTCAGCATCACAAGATGGGCACATTTAAAAGCCAATTATGGTGATGCTTTTATGTGGTGACAGAGGCACAACAAAGATTAAGAACATGCCTTAATGGGATAGGAGGAGGAGAGGAAAGAGGAATGTGAAATGTTAGGAATAGGACAGGAAAACACAGGTGTGCTTAAAGTTCAGAGGCAGAAAAAGAGAGCATGTTTCCTGGAGAAAAATGAGGGCAATAAGAGGAAGAAGGGAGGAATACAGACTGTTGAAAGGGAAGGGAAGGGAAGGGAAGGGAAGGGAAGGGAAG